GTGGTAGTTTATATGTCTCTAGGAATGCATCCATTTCTTCCAGATTGTCAAATTTGTTGGCATAGAGTTGCTCATAATATGTTCTTATAATTGTCTGTATTTCTTTGGTGTTAGTTGTGATCTCTCCTCTTTCATTCATGATTTTATTTATTTGGGTCCTTTCTCTTTTCTTTTTGATAAGTCTGGCCAGGGGTTTATCAATCTTATTACTTCTTTCAAAGAACCAGCTCCTAGTTTCGTTGATTTGTTCTATTGTTTTTTTGGTTTCTATTTCATTGATTTCTGCTCTGATCTTTATGATTTCTCTTCTCCTGCTGGGTTTAGGGTTTCTTTCTTGTTCTTTCTCCAGCTCCTTTAGGTGTAGGGTTAGGTTGTGTATTTGAGACCTTTCTTGTTTCTTGAGAAAGGCTCGTACGCTATATATTTTCCTCTCAGGACTGCCTTTGTTGTGTCCCACAGATTTTGAACCGTTCTATTTTCATTATCATTTGTTTCCATGAATTTTTTCAATTCCTCTTTAATTTCCTGGTTGACCCATTCATTCTTTAGAAGGATGCTGTTTAGTCTCCATGTATTTGGGTTCTTTCCAAATTTCCTCTTGTGATTGAGTTCTAGCTTCAGAGCATTGTGGTCTGAAAATATGCAGGGAATGATCCCAATCTTTTGATAATGGTTGAGACCTGATTTAGCACCGAGGATGTGATCTATTCTGGAGAATGTTCCATGTGCACTAGAGAAGAATGTGTATTCTGTTGCTTTGGGATGAAATGTTCTGAATATATCTGTGATGTCCATCTGGTTCAGTGTGTCATTTAAGGCCTTTATTTCCTTGTTGATCTTTTGCTTGGATGATCTGTCCATTTCAGTGTGGGGAGTGTTAAAGTCCCCTACTATTATTGTATTATTGTAGATGTGTTTCTTTGATTTTGTTATTAATTGGTTTATATAGTTGGCTGCTCCCACGTTAGGGGCATAGATATTTAAAATTGTTAGGTCTTCTTGTTGGACAGATCCTTTGAGTATGATATAGTGTCCTTCCTCATCTCTTATTATAGTCTTTGGCTTAAAATCTAATTGATCTGATATAAGGATTGCCACTCCTGCTTTCTTCTGATGTCCGTTAGCATGGTAAATTCTTTTCCACCCCCTCACTTTAAATCTGAAGGTGTCTTCAGGTTTAAGATGAGTTTCTTGTAGGCAACATATAGATGGGTTTTGTTTTTTTATCCATTCTGATACCCTGTGTCTTTTGATTGGGGCATTTAGCCCATTAACATTCAGGGTAACTATTGAGAGATATGAATTTAGTGTCATTGTATTGCCTGTAAGGTGACCGTTATTGTATATTGTCTCTGTTTCTTTCTGATCTACTACTTTTAGGGTCTCTCTTTGCTTAGAGGACCCCTTTCAGTATTTCCTGTAGAGCTGGTTTGGTGTTTGCAAATTCTTTCAGTTTTTGTTTGTCCTGGAAGCTTTTTATCTCTCCTTCTATTTTCAATGATAGCCTAGCTGGATATAGTATTCTTGGCTGCATGTTTTTCTTGTTTAGTGCTCTGAATATATCATGCCAGCTCTTTCTGGCCTGCCAGGTCTCTGTGGATAAGTCTGCTGCCAATCTAATATTTTTACCATTGTATGTTACAGACTTCTTCTCCCGGGCTGCTTTCAGGATTTTCTCTTTGTCACTAAGACTTGTAAATTTGACTATTAGGTGACAGGGTGTGGACGTATTCTTATTGATTTTGAGTGGGGTTCTCTGAACTTCCTGGATTTTGATGCTTGTTCCCTTTGCCATATTGGGGAAATTCTCTCCAATAATTCTCTCCAATATACCTTCTGCTCCCCTCTCTCTTTCTTCTTCTGGAATCCCAATTATTGTAATGTTGTTTCGTCTTATGGTGTCACTTATCTCTCGAATTCTGCCCTTGTGGTCCAGTAGCTGTTTGTCCCTCTTTTGCTGAGCTTCTTTATTCTCTGTCATTTGGTCTTCTATATCTCTAATTCTTTCTTCTTCCTCATTTATCCTAGCAGTGAGAGCCTCCATTTTTGATTACACCTCATTCATAGCTTTTTTTATTTCAACTTGATTAGATTTTAGTTCTTTTATTTCTCCAGAAAGGGCTTTTATATCTCCCGAGAGGGTTTGTCTAATATCTTCCATGCCTTTTTCGAGCCCGGCTAGAACCTTGAGAATCGTCATTCTGAACTCTAGATCTGACATATTACCAATGTCTGTATTGATTAGGTCCCTAGCCTTCGGTACTGCCTCTTGTTCTTTTTTTTTTTTTTTTTTGTGGTACATTTTTCCGCCTTGTCATTTTGTCCAGATAAGAGTATATGAAGGAGCAAGTTACTAAAAGGGTGGCAACAACCCCAGGAAAATATGCTTTAACCAAATCAGAAGAGATCCCAAATCATGAGGGGGGAGAAAGGGGATAAAAAGAGGTTCAGAAAGAAAAAAAAGAAAGAAAGAAAAGAAGCAATTAAAAAAAGAAAACGAATAAAGAAAAAATATAAAAAAGAAAAAATATATATATTAGATAAACTAGTTAAAAACGTTAAAAAAGAAAAGGGTAAAAGTTAAAAAAAAATAGCAGAAGAAGAGAAAAAAAATTGAAAAAGAAAAAAAATTAAGTTAACTGCAAGGCTAAAAAATCATGGGGAGAAAGCCAGGAGTTCTGTGCTTTGCTTTCTCCTCCTCTGGAATTCCGCTGCTCTCCTTGGTATTGAAACTGCACTCCTTGGTAGGTGAACTTGGTCCTGGCTGGATTTCTTGTTGATCTTCTGGGGGAGGGGCCTGTAGTAGTGATTCTCAAGTGTCTTTGCCCCAGGCATAGTTGCACCACCCTTACCAGGGGCCAGGCTGAGTAATCCGCTCGGGTTTGCTTTCGGGAGCTTTTGTTCCCTGAGCACTTTCTGTAGAGTTCCGGAGGATGGGAATGAAGATGGCGGCCTCCCAGTCTCCAGCCCACAGGAGCCGAGAGCCCAGGTCCCCACTCCTCAGTGCTCCCTCAGAGAACAGCGCCCAATTACTCCCGTCTGCCTGGCCCCCGGCCGCGCTCTGAGCTCACTGAGCCTGTGACTGGTTCAAGGTAACCCTGAGCTGTGAGCTCACTCCTCAGCTCCATCTCTGTAGCCGGCTTCCCTGTTCTAATACCTGCAAGCTCTGTGACACTCAGACACCCCCAATCCTTCTGTGACCCTGCGGGACCTGAGGCCACGCTGACCCCGCGTGGGCTTCACCCTGGTTAAGCCTCTGGAGCGATGTCCCTCAGTGGAACAGACTTTTTTAAAAGTCCTAATGTTGTGCTCCCTTGCTCCGCCGCTTGCCAGGAGCCGGCCCCTCCCCCCGCGGTCTATCTTCCCATCGCTTTGGATTCACTTCTCCACCAGCCCTACCTTTCAGAAAGTGGTTGATTTTCGGTTTCTAGAATTGCTGTTCTTCTCTTTGATCTCCCGTTGGATTTGTAGGTGTTTGCAATCTTTAGATAAGCTATCTAGCTGATCTCCTGCTACCTGAAGTAGTCTCAGCCTGCTACTTCTCCGCCATCTTGACTCCTCCCCGGGAACCATTTGTTTCTTGCACAATGATGTGTTCTATGGAACTCTGAACCAAAACGATGATCAATGAAGATTAGTTTACTTCTTCATAATCATCCTAGTTCAAAAAATTAAAAAGAATTTATCCCCATCTTTCAATGTCTTTCTCTTGGTTTCTTGTCCTCGAGACTATAATGTTCTTTGACTTAACCAGTCCAATAGGAGGGTTATGTTTGCTTCTAGATGAATAGGTTAATAGTTCACTTTAGGCATTATTCATTGAGTGAAACTGCAACAACTGCTTCATTATAAATACATTTATGTTACTTAATATAACCTCACTGAATAAAAGGATTTTTTCCTTTGATTATGTTCAGTGAGTACTATGAATATTCTATACACACCACTTCTATCAAAACTGTTCTTAAGGAAAATTTTAAGGAAATATCTTGTTTAAAATTTTCTGAAATCTACCATTGTACTCTTTTTTCTAAGTTGCATTTGATTCTTAAAAAGACATCTTTAAAAAAAAAAAAAAGACATCTTTGGGATGGTGTTGTAAAGGGAATAAGGGCAAGTCTTGTTTTCTATCAGAATTGGGAGTATTGTTTAAGTAAACTAAAGTAAAATCTTCCAAACAGTGAACTTGAAGAAAGACTTGTGACAGCAATGAGAAGAGCTTTAGAAGACAATCTCCTGGTGATTTTCATTTTCTTCCCCAATATGCTGCCAATGTTATATTAATCTTTAATGAGATATTTTAAATGGACATAAAACATGATAAATTATCGTGTGAAATAAATCATTAGGTGAATTATAGTGACTTTTCATGGCTAAAAACAAAGGATTAAATACAAAATTATAAATGAGCTTTAGTGCAATATAAACATCTTTAAGAAATAGCAGTAAGAGTTTATTATCTAGATATCTTTGTTGATTTTCTTCCAGCATCATGAAAAAGTGAGAGAAAATAAATGTAATGGAAACAGCTCAAGAAAATGGTGGGGGAGATTGACAGGGAGATAAACTGTAATAATGTGAAAGTTTAAACCATTCAAATCTATAGAATATGTCAAATACACACCTATTCTTAAATGATAGCATATGTGTACTCACATTTTGAAGTGAACTGCACTGTTATATATGAACAACTTTCACTGAAAAAAACTAAATATAAAACAAACCCTTTTTGCCTCTAACTCAAGTATTTCTTTCTACCAAAAGAAAGATGAAATTTAACTGATTGTGCCCACTGACAAATAGTTCAAGCAGCCTAGAATTGTATATTTACAAAGAATCAGGACCAAATGGCTCACTCAGAACAGAGGATTTATTCAAGACTTGTTTTAGGATTTTTAATACATTTGTCTGATCACTCAAGTTGCCTGTCCTAAGAAAAGTTTCAAAGGTTTCAGCAGCAAAGTGACATCACTATGTATCTGTCTTCTCTCCATAGTCTGGAGACCATGAATAAGTCAGGGATATCTACTGTGACACAGTTCATCTTGTTGGGCTTTCCTGGTCCCTGGAAAATACAGATCACCCTTTTCTCAATGATTTTGTTCATCTATATCTTGACTCTAACTGGGAATACAGCCATCATTTGTGCAGTGAGATGGGACCATTGGCTCCATACCCTTATGTATGTGCTCCTGGCCAACTTCTCCTTCCTAGAAATCTGGTATGTGACTTGCACAGTCCCCAACATGCTGGTCAATTTTCTTTCCAAAACCAAGACCATATCATTCTCTGGTTGTTTCACTCAATTCTACTTCTTCTTTTCACTGGGCACAACTGAATGCTTCATCCTCTGTGTCATGGCTTATGATCAGTACCTGGCCATCTGCCATCCACTGCACTATCCCTCCATTATGACTGGGCAGCTCTGTGTCACTCTGGTGTCTCTTTGTTGGCTCATTGGTTTCCTTGGACATGCAATTACTATTTTCTTCATTTCTCAACTACCCTTCTGTGGTCCCAACATTATTGATCACTTTCTATGTGATGTGGACCCACTGATGGCATTGTCCTGTGCCTGGCACCCATCATAGAGCATGTATTCCATTCTGTGAGCTCTCTTATCATCATTACCACCATTTGGTACATTCTTAGGTTCTATGCCCTGGTGCTCAGAGCTGTCCTTAAGGTTCCTTCTTCAGCTGGGCGGCAAAAAGCCTTCTCTACCTGTGGATCCCATTTAGTTGTAGTGTCTTTGTTCTATGGAACCATAATGGTGATGTATGTGAGTCCCACATCTGGCGACTCAGTTGCTATGCGTAAGATCATCACACTGATATACTCTATAGTGACACCAGTCTTAAACCCCATCATCTATAGCCTATGCAACAAGGACATGAAATTTGCCCTCCATCAGGTCATTTGTGGAATGAAAATCCTCCAAACTTTGTGAAAAGGTTTTATGAAAAACAGTGATTCATTTTCTGAAAGTCAAACAGTAATCCTCTTCTTCCAACCCAAATGGACTTGGCTTTATTCATAACCATGATGGTCCTGTGTTGCAAGGCAAAATTCATCATTTTTTACTGTATTTTGATGTGCTTTTAGTTTCACAAATGTGTTTCCATGGAAAGAGATTTCCACCCCTTACAGAGAAAAAAGTAACTCTTAAAAATCTTAATATTTATTTCCAGGAAAGTTTAGACTTTTTCAGTATGCAATTTCTGTCCATACAACTTTGTTAAAAGATATTAATTATATTGGTTTTTTGCTTATATGGCTGTCTTTGCCAAAAAGACACATAACACATAAAATGCCTTTTGTCCTGGATTTTTGGCAGAATATTCTGGTTTCCCTCCAGATCATACCAATCTTTCACCTTTTATTGGATTTTGGCAGACACCCCACACATCAATATCGGTACACTAAGAGACTGTAACTTTAGCTTCACAGTTCTTACTCATTACCCTCACCAACTGTATACAAGGGGAGACTGGAAGTTTGGTATAAGCCATGAGGAAAAATATATTTGGTGAGTTGTTAGTATGCAATTACCACAAAGAAAATGGGCCATAACAGAAGCAAACTGAATTCCCACCCATAACAGAACAAATATAGAATACTCACCTTTAGCCTAGTTAAGGCTTATGGAAAGTAACAAACTTAGACCATCTTGAAAGGGATTTCACCCAAAAGCACTATTTGGAGAATAAAGCAACCCCAAAAGTGAGTCTATATGGTGTGCATCACCAGAACCCGGAATGAAAGAAGTCTTAAGTAGCCAATCAATGAAGCATTACCTATACCATAGAACTACAGTTTAGAGAGCACCCCACACCACCACCAAAAAAGCACTCCATGAGAGAAAAATCAGCATACAAGTTTCTGTCAAATAATAGGGCAACAATATCAGTCAAGGAAAAGCTTTTTACCTTTACTTTTCTCCCACCTGGAACCTAGAGTAAACAGAGGCAGTGTAGTCATGTGGGAGAAGAGGAGTAAAAAGGCAGAGGAAAAGAAGTACATCAAGCCTGAGTCAGACCCAGTCTTGAGGAATAAGTTTTAATTTGGATAAAAAAATTAAAATTTTGGCTTTAGACCTTCCAGTATCTGGATAAAGGAGACCCTGTATTAATGCTAAAGATAATCAGAAAACTACCACATTGGCCCAAGGTATTATCCAGAGATGGAGAAAATTGAAGATCAGAAAATGTTTGAAGTAGAAGTGGTGAGGAAAAATAAAATTCCTTTGGATTTATACCCTACCAAGTCTAAAACAAGCAATTAAATAATTAAAGTAAAAAATAATTTTAAAATGCTATAGCCTAAAAGGAATAAAACCCTCACCTGAAGACCAAAAGATATCTCTCTGAAAGTGTTATTGTGCAATTGGATAACACTATACTTCAAGGTAAGTAGAGGGATCAAAAAAAGGTGGGAAAGGAATCATAAAATCTTCTTGGGAGGCTACTAAATACAAGTTTGAACTATCTACTACAGTTTTGTCTTAATTCAGCACTAATATTTTAGTGATTCAACTGAAGTCATTACCTAAAGAACGAACAAAAAATATTTTGTATAAAATAGCTCACACGTATCTTACTACTACAATGTATTAGAAGTTGAATATGTAGCTATACTTGTCAAACACCTATTCTTTTTCAAGATTTGATTCAGACAACACTTCCACTAGAAAGCCTTCCAAACATCCCCAGGCTGTGCTATGTGTCCTTCATAATGAATCTAAAATACACTAAAAAATAAAATAATTTTTCATCATTGTACTTACATTTTTTGAGGTGAGTCTATTATGTGTCTGTCACTTCCCCCAGAGTGGAAGCGCTTTGAGGATGAGGAAAGGATCTTATCTTTTCATTCCCAGCATGTTATAGGATAATTGACAGACTTATAGTAAGTGTGTAAAGAAAGGAAGAGTTTTGGGGTTTGTTTTTTTGTTGTTGCTTTGTTTTGTTTTTTGTTTTTTAGAGAGAAAGAAAGCACGGTGGGAGGGACAAATGGAGAAAAAGTCGCAAGTAGACTCTATGCTCAGCAGGGCTCCATCTCACAACACTAAGATCATTATGAGCCAAAACCAAGACTTGAATGCACCCAAGACAGGCACCCCAGAAAAGAAGAGATTTTAGAATTGGATGAGTGAGTTAGTTCTTAAATCAGTCCTCACTAGTATTAAATATATTTTAGTCACAAAACCATTAACTGGTTATTTACATTTTTTAACATTTAAGGAACTTACCTATTTTAAAAAAGCAAATGCATATACATATAATGGTTTTGATGTCTTTAAAATGGTTACATTATACAGACTGTCATAGTTGCTATTCTCCTAAAATTTTATAATTTTCTATGCAGGTACAATATAAATAGATATGCCTTGTTTTTTTTTTCTTTCATTTAATATTGTCTTCTTGTAGTATAAAATGGTAATAAATACATACCTATCAATAATTACTTTATATGTAAATGGTCTAAATGTTCCAATCAAAAGACACAGGGTGGCAGAAAGGATTAAAAAAAGAAAGAAAATGCCCGATCTATGTGCTGTTTATAAGAGTCTAAAGACACATACAGACAGAAAATGAAGGAATGGAAAAACATTTACCTTGGAAATGGAAGAAAGAAAAAAAATAGCAATAATTATATCACACAAAACAGACTTTAAAACAAAGACATAACAAGAGACAAAGAAGGGGATTACATAGAAGGATTAATCCAACAACAGGATATAACAACTGTAAATATATATATACCCAACATTAAAACACTTAAATACATAAAGCAAATATGAATAAAAATAAAAGGAGAAACTGATGATAATACTCTAATAATAGAAGATTTTAACACTCCACTTACATTGATGGATAGATCATCTAGGCAGAAAATCAATGAGGACACATGATTCCCTTTATATAAAAGTTCAAACTCAGGCAAATGTCATCCGTGGTGGTAGAAAAATAATGGTTATCTTTGGGGGGGTGGGGAAGAGTGCAGAAGGGAACAGTCTGGGATGCTGGACATGTTCTATACTTTGAACTAGATGGTGATTAAAAATTTACTGAGCTACAAAAAAAAAAGAAAATCAATAAGGAAACAATGCCTTTGAATAACACATTAGACAAGATGGACATAAGAGAAATATACAGAACATACTATCCCAAAACAACAGAATACATTTTTTTCAAGTGCACATGGGGCATTCTCCAAAATAGTTCAGGTGTTGGGCCACAAAAATGTCTCAATAAATTCAAAAAGACTTAAATCATATCATGCATCTTTTCCAACCCAATGGTATGGAACTAGAATTCAATCACAGGAAAATATAAGGAAAGAACACAAATACATGGAGGCTGAATATCATGCTCCTAAACAATGAATAGGTAAACCAAGAAATCAAAAAGGAAATAAGAAAATTCACAGAGACAATTGGAAATGAAAACAATGGTCCAAAATCTTTGGGATGCAGGCAAAAACTCATCTAAGGAAAGAGATTTAGCAATACAGGCAATACAACAAGAAGGGTACCAAATAAGCAACCTAACCTTACACCTAAAGGAGTTGGAAAAAGAAGAACAAAGCCCAAGTCCAGCAGAAGGAAGGAAATAATAAATATTGGATCAGAAATAATTGATATAGAGACTAAAAAAGCAATAGAACAGATTGATAAAAACTGAAGCAAGTTCTTTGAAAAGGCCAATAAAATTTAGAAACCTTTAGCCAGATCCATCAAAAAGAGAGGACTCAAATAAATAAAATTAGAAAGGAACAAGGAGAAATAATGATTGACACCACAGAAATACAAAAGATGATAAGAGATTATTACAAAAAATTATATGCCAACAAATTGAACAACCTAGAAGAAATGGATAAATTCCTAGAACCATATAACTTTCCAAAACTGACTCGGGAAGAAATAGAAAATTAGAACAGACCAATTACTACAAATGAATAATCAAAAAAAAAAAAAAAAACTCCCAACAAACAAAAGTCCAGGATCAGAGAGCTTCACAAGTGAATTCTACTAAACATTTAAAGAGTTAATACCTATTATTCTCAAACTGTTGTGAAATATAGAAGAATAAGTAGAGCTCCTAAATACATTCTATGAGGCCCCATAACTCTTATACCAAAACCAGATAAAGACACACACAAAAAACAAAACTGGTTGAATATCTCTGACAACCATAGATGTAAATTTCCTTGATAAAATATTAGCAAACTTAATCCAACAACACATTTTTTAAAAAAAATCACTCACCAACAGGAAGAGCAAGATGGTAGAGGAGTAGGAGACCTAAATGTTGTCATCCCAGGAATTCAGCTAAATAATTATCAAATTATCATTATATATTAGAATTATCATTCTGAACACCTATGAACTCAACAGGAGATTGAAGTACAGAAGAGCAGCAATTCTATGAGCAGAAAAGTGACCACCTTCTGGAAAGTAGGATGTGTGGAGATGTGAATCTGAGGTGAAATATGGAACGAAAGACCATAGCGAGAAAGGCCAGACCATAGCAAGCTGTAGAACAATGGAGCACAAACTCAGAACTTTTAGAAGTCTGCTCCACTGAGGGATGTCACTCCAGAGGCTAAGCAGGGGTTGGAGCCCTTGCTGGGACAGTGTGGTCTCAGGACCCTTGGGGGCACAGAAAGACTGGGGGTGCCTGAGTGTGGCAGAGTTCCCAGGTATCAGAAGGGGAAGGCAGTTGCAAAGAAGGAGCCAAGGAGTGGGTTCGCAGCTTGGGATTGCTATAAACCATGATCCGAGGCAAAGGTGGGCCACTACACTTCAAGCAGGGATCCCACAAGTGACAGATCTGAGAGACTCCCTCAATCCTTCTCTGGGAGGAGTGGCATGGGAGTGTGCTGCAGGAATCTGCTGGGTTTGGAGACTCCAAATGGGACTGTGTGCCAGAGATAAAAATGCTTGGT